GTAGAGATGAGGTCTCGCTGCCCCGGCAGGTCTTGAACCTGCGGGCTCAGGCAATCCACTTACCTCAGCCTCCCAAAGACGTGGGATTACAGGCTGAGCCACCAAGCCTGGCTCCTTTTTGTCTTTTAAATGTAACTTTTTGAACAATAAAAACTTCATATTTGTCTCACATTATATTTCTATTGGGCGGTGCTTCTCCAGAGTCTCTTCCAGCTTTGACCATTCTGAGTCTTTATGAAGCTTTACTGTGTGTATAATTTTAGCTCAGTCATAATTGTTTTAGACCAGTGTGGTCCTGTAGAACTTATGCATTTACGAAAGTGTTTTATAGTCTGCCTAATATGGTGACCTCTAACTATGTATGGTTCTGAGTGTGACAGAGGAAAGACATGTTAAATTTTGCTTAATTTTAATGAATTTAAATGTAAATAGTTCCCACGTACTTAATAGCTATTGTATTGGACCTTATAAAGAATAAATTTCCATAAACCTTGGCTGATTTTCTCTTTTCCAGTTGCGTTGGTGTTGAAGAAGAGAAGGCTGCTGACATTGACCTCTACCACTGCCCCAACTGTGAAGTCTTACATGGACCCTCCATTAGTAAGTAGATCTTAGGGTTTTTCAGAGGTGACCCAGAGGAGAAATGAAAGGAAACTTGGGAGGGTGATTGCCTTTACCTGAATGCTTCAGGTTCTTGTTCCCTAGGAAATAGCAGAAGCCTATGCAGACCCCTCTGTCCAGCAGCTGTCCTATTGAGAGGGCAAAAGTGCATAACTTCACCTGTCTCCCTTCCAAGAATGAGAGGAAGTTCTCATCTTCACAGACTTTCCTGAGTCTGTGAATGCCTCATGGACTCCAGATGCTTGTTAGATTTGAAGAGATTGTTAGCTCTACTGAGGCTTTTGTTCTTGGGATCATAACTCATGGCCATTCTGACTCATGATCATATGTTATTTTCTGGCTTAGTGAAAAAGCGCCGTGGATCTTCAAAAGGACATGATATACACAAGGGGAAACCAGTGAAGACTGGGAGCCCCACTTTCATCCGAGAGCTCCGGAGTAGGACTTTTGACAGGTAAGGGACCCCTGTCCCCGAGGACTGGTGAACACCAGGGCTCTGGGAGACTGGGCCCCATCTTTTCCCAACTTTCCTACTGGCTGCCTATTAGGTGCCTCTTCCATTTATGAGTATCTTCAGGGATCTCTGAGTTCCCTCTGGGGAAGGAACTTCTGGCTTGCTTAGTTTCTGAGAAACTTGGTAGTTGGGAGGCAGTTTTTGCCAAAGCAGGAGAGAGTACTTATATATACCCAAGAAATTCTGGAACTAGAAGGAGTCTTAAAGATCAGAAAGTTTAATTCTCTCATAGAGAAAAAGAAACTCTTTTAAAAAATAAAAAAGTTTGAGTGGTCATGTATTTCTTTCCTAATACAAAAGAGGATTTTTCTTTTCTTCTTTTTTTTTTTGAGTTGGAGTCTCACTCTGTCGCCCAGACTGGAGCGCAGTGGCCGCTCCCGGCCACCGCAGCCTCGACC